ATGAATCCGATTATGTGAAATATGATTTGACAATTTTACCTCTAAAAAATGATTACGTACAAGGCACGTGGTGGATTTCGATAAAAACTAATCAAAAACCTAGACATGGGCCAAATTTGACAAATGTGAATTTGTAAGGGACGAAAAAATCATTTTACAAAATGTGAGAAATGTATTGAACGATTTTCCTTTATTAAAATTAAGTTTTTAAACTAGGCTTCTAGGCTATGTCGCCTCACAAGTTGTGTCTTGCACAAGTTTGTCCCCGATGTAAATAAGTAGGAATTTGGTGTAAATTGTTTTATATATTCTAAAGTTAGAATTTGATGTAAATGAATTGGATTTGCGTGCAAACAAGTTGGATTCGAGGTAAATTAGGTACAGTCAATTTGTCATCTTTTGACATAAATATTTTCAATCATAGTGTAAATTATAATTTTACCCTCAAATTGCATGCAATGCAACTTGACCCGTCCACAAGCCGTAGGGTGAAACCACTGTTCATTATTTAAGTTGTATACGTCTGTATGCTAACTGAATTACACCTATCTCAAAATATAAGGAGACCGTCATTAAAGTATTTGCAAAAAAAATAATAATGAAGGGATAGACATGGAAAATTAGAGGTCTACTCATAGACGACTAGAGCAAATTGTAATGTCTTTCTAAAACTAGTTCTAACAGCTGAATTCCTCAGGATCCTAGGATATACTAAAGATTTAATCAATATTTCAATTGCTTTACATTTGAATCAATGTAAAAGAGAAACTTCATGAGAATTACAACTATCAAAATGGGTGATTCGAAGAATTTGGACGGGTCATAATTGAGTAATAAGCATAATTGGGTCAACCCACTAATGCACGTTTAAATAAATGGGTATGGGTATATCCAATTACCTATTTATGAGTCACTTAAAATTCTATTTATTTATTTTTTATTTTTTCGCATATTGTTTGACAAGAAATAATGGTGTTTTATTGTTATTAAATTGGTGAGAAATTCAAATTTATTTATTTAATGCTCAACTTTTAAATATGTAATAATTTTTAAATTGGTATATATAGGTGAGTCGAATAGATCGATTACTCACTAATTAAATAGGTTTAATTGGGTACCCATTTAGACTCATTTAAAATTAATGGACGGGTTATTGATGAAAAGATTTGAACGAATCAATGTAATTGGATAGTAATTGGCACCTCTAGTGAGAAGTACCCATGCCATATTAGTTTTATGATTAACCATTTAACATTGAAAAAAAAAATTCACTTACAATTTTAATCATTTTTCTGACCAGCCAAATCTAAAGGTTAACACCTGCATCATACTTGGTCGAATTGAAGAGTCTGATTAGTTGAAAAACTAAAACTAATGCGCAAGGATATTTATCTCTATATGCAGATGTCATCACATTATTTTTATTCTAGAAATCCCAATGGCCGTTGGACAATTTAAGATTTGAAACAAGGACAAAAATTGGTATGCTGATATAGTTGATCTTCCTGTTTCAATTATTAATTAGGATACTAGCCAGAGATACTGCAAAGGATTACAAGACTATACTTGCCAAGGTTGAAAGATACAAGAGAAACCTGTACTTCGAAAAACAACGAAGCCATAAAAACACTTTTAAAAAGCCACCAAACTAGAAGTCCATCCATGAGCAGGTAACACTAAATAAATTAAGAAAGAATGAAAAATATAGATATATAATAGCGTAGAATAAGCTATACCAACAATCCGATTGAGTATAGTAAGGATTTGAGAAATCAATATCGAATTCTCTCCTTGGAGAAATTAAATTCAATCTCAACATAATAATTAAGCATATATAATAGGATTCTTCCGACGAATGTCCATTTTTCTCAATTTTCAAATTAACTACACTCTTCCCAAAAAAACAAAAAAGCATTGATCATAATAGTTAAACTATCTCGTCCGGTTGTTCGCAGGCGTTGTTGGAGGCAGCCGATGGGTCATATAGTTACACCAGAGACAGAGCAGCGAACCTACGAATAAAGGAAGATGCAAGCCAACCGCCAGGATAAGCACGAAATGACTTTTTCTACCTCCAACAAAATAAACGATCGTGGAACATACGAAGCCTACAAAGGATACCGCTGCCGTTGACAGTAACAGTGACAGTGGCACTGGCCCTGACGAGTCGTTGGCCATCTCTGCTGCTGCAAAGGTTTTAAGTTTTTAACAAGGATGAGGGAATACTGGTTAATTTGCCAGCACCCCTTCTACAGTTCTACTTACATTTATACTTTGGTGCATGAAATATTCTGAGTGATTAAAAAGGAAAAACATAAATGGAAAAAGAAATATATGTTAAACGAAACATATGGTTCTGCGAAAAAGGAAGCATATATTAACAAGGGAAGATGCCGGTTGCCAATCGTATGTAACTTGTAGGCCAAGGTACTAAAACTATTGCGGACATCCTTGTTGCAAACAATTTCTTGAATTTTCCTCAAACTTCTCCAACTTTTAGCTTATTAATGGTAGAAAACTAAGACGTTAAGAATTTGGAAATTTTCTGTATATTCAAGAAAAATGGTCCTACGAGATATGTACAATCAAATGAAATCAAATCAGCCTAATTAAAATTGAATCTAATCTAATCAAATCAAATATATCTATATATATTAATCTAATCAAATCTATAGATTTTAATTTAATCAAATCAAATATAATGAAATCAAATATTTATAATATGACAAGATTAGATGTGATGAGATATGTTAAGAATTAAGAATAAAAAATGGCCCTTCTTTTTAAGTGTTAGGTACTTTTAACCCTCTTCTTTTGTAGGGAAGTTCTTTTGCTGTTTCCCGCACTTTGTGTTACAATCATCAGATGACATATTGGTAATTGATTTTTTTTCATTTCTCAGACTTTCTTTAGGATTTTGTCAGTAAAACAAAATTGAGTAAATTTAATTTTTTTTTAAAACAGAAATTGTGAAAATTAGTCTAATTTTTTGACATTTAACTATGTGCAGTTTTAAACAAGCGTAAATATCTAGTTATATTTCTTATCGTGAATCAAGTCAAAGCAAAACCTATCTAATGTGTCAGCCTTATAAAAGCGAAGTGGGGAGGAATAATGTATAAGCCTTGTAAAAACAAAACCGGGAGGTATAATGTATAAGCCTAAAGAAGCAAAACAAGGAAGTGGATTTGAACCAAAACCTCAAATTTCTAGGGTTTCAGCATTAATTATTAGGGAGAATTGGAGTTTTGGTCCCCAATGTATTACAAACGCGCGAAACTAGTCCCCAATCTATTGGGGGGAACAAATGTGGTACCCAATCTATCCAATTTTGCTCGAAAGTGGACAATTGACGGGTTTTCTTCATTTTTTGCCGGAAACAAGTCACGTGAGAGCACGTGCCGGCAGTTAAAATCCTTTTTTCAATTTTTTAAGCGGGAAAACTTATAAAAAATTATTTCCAGCTTTCTGGTGCCCCCTTTTTAATTAGCAAAGACAAAACACACTAATTGTCCCCCCTTTCTTCTCTTCGGTCTCCAGAAACGAGAACAAAAAACCAGATTAAGTTCTACGCATAAAACCAGCAAATCGGAAGAACTCGGTGATAGTGGAGTTGTTCGTGAATCTGGGAGGAGGAAATGGCACTAAGACCAAAAGAAATGAATGGAGCACCGCCACCAGATTACAGTATGTGATTTTTACCTCAGGTAGCATTATGCATGCTTAATTCATGCTTATATTGTAAGAACGTGATGATGAATGGTGATATTTTCACTTGGAAGACAAAGAATGTCTTAAATTTTGGATTTTTAAGTAATTTGACAAAGTCCTAAAAACAAACTTGTCTACCATTGTATGTGGTCCTGTATGTCTCTCTGGTGTGGGTTGTCATGGTAGACAATGTTGGGTTAAATGAGACTTTGTAGCATGCTTTTGTGGTCCTTGTCTGAACTTTATATGGCAGGGGGTGTATTATTGAACTGTCTTGAAGCTGATTGAGTGCAAATTACTTACTTATATAATCTAATTTGTCACTTATGGTACTTGTTTATTGTGTTTGTTTCATTTTTTTTGTCCCTAAATTCGGACAGTGATAGCACTGAAGTGACTATGAAGTGTTATATATGGGGAAAAATTGAAACCGAACCTGATGTGCATTATGAGGGAGGAGAATTAAGGATTTTTTATCATGTAGAGGCCACATACATTAGTCTATTTGAAATGGATAGAATGCTAGAAAATCAACTTCAAGCTGTTGGTGACAAAAAGTACCATATCCTAATTGAGGAACATGGATTTCGTTTGTTAAGACATTATAGAGAATTGCATGCATATTGTGCTGATCATTTTGACTGTGGTAGGGTGGTTGATTTGTATGTGGAAGTTTCCCTTAATGATCTACTAGCATCACAATGGGGGTCTGACATTGAGGATGGGGACTTTGTGTTAGAAGATGAACAGGATGAAAGTGATGATGAATATATGGCTAGTTCAGGCTCTAATTTGAGGGAGTTCTCAGGAGAAGACTTGGATTATGATCAAAATTCAGATGGTAATGATTATGATGAAAATGTTGATGAACATTATGAATGGTTAGGGGTAGAAAATAGAAAACAAGAGCAGCTGAATAGGCATCTAAAAAAAAAGTCTACAGATGCTAGGATGAGCCACATGGCTAGGAAACAAATGCCTAGTGATACTGAAAGTGACGATGACAATTCTGACGTAGATGCTGCCCCAGATTCAAATATTGATATTGGTAGTGATAGAGGGTCAGATGAAGAGAAAAGCTTGAGACCCCCTGTGTTTGATCCCAAGGATGAAAATAACCCCAAAATTAAACTTAGACAAATATTTTCTTCCTTCAAGGAGTTGAAAGAAGCAATTAGAACCTAGAACATCAGGAGAGGGAGATCATTTAAAGTTATCAAGAGTATAGCATAAGAGTTAGAGCAATATGTCCTAAAGATGGGTGTGATTGGTGCATATATGCTAGGAGGATGAAAGGGGATGGTGGATTGGAGGTTAGAACATTTCAAAAGAATCACAAATGTGGATTTTCATACCACAACAAGAGTGTGAAGTCTGGGTGGGTAGGAAGAAGGTATGTTGGCATATTTCGGGAGAACCCAAGGCTGGACTATTTTAGTTTCAAAAATCTGGTAATGAAGGAGCACAAATGTCATCTTAGTAGACATCAAGGCTATAGAGCTAAGAAAATTGCAGAGAATTTGGCCAAAGGTAGTGAGATGGATCAATATAATAAACTGCCTCAATATATCAATGAAATCGAGAGAAGTAATCCAGGCAGCACAGTAATTATGAAACTGGTAGATGACTATTGTGATGCAGTAATTGGACAGGGCAAATTTCAGAGATTATACATGTGGTTTGCTGGGTAAAACAGGGGTTCTTAGTAGCTTGTAGGCCTGAGTTTGGATTGGATGGAACTTTTCTCAAAGGTTCAGCAAGGGGTGTACTAGTGACAGCAGTTGGAGTTGATCCAAATAATGGAATGTATCTTATAGCTTATGCAGCAACTGAGAGAGAAACCAAAGACTCTTGGATTTGGTTTCTAACATTACTCAAGGAAGATTTGAAAATTGAAAGGGACTATGAGTGGACAATAATGAGTGATAAGCAAAAGGGAATAATCCAAGCATGTGAAACAGTTTTTTCGAATGCAACCCACAGATTCTGTGTTAAACATATGCATAGTAACATGTCATCTGCTGGGTTCAAAGGGGCGGCAATGAGGAAAGCTCTATGGAAAGCAGCTAAGGCAACTACTCCAATTCAATTCAGAAGAAAAATGGAGGCAATTGCTGAACTTGATGCTGAAGCTGCTAACTGGTTGGATGACAAGAATCCAGCAGAGTGGAGTAGATCACACTTTAGCACTTACCCAAAGTGTGATATGTTGCTGAATAACATATGTGAATCCTTCAACAGCAAGATCTTAGATGCTAGAGAGGAGTCAATTGTTGCAATGATGGAGTCATTGAGATATTTTATGATGTCAAGAATGAAGGAAAATAGAGACAGAGCCAGAGAAAAATGGAACAACTATGCAGACTGCCCAAAAATCAGGAAAAGAATGATGGAGAACATAGATAAGGTAACTTACTGTGTGCCTTACAAATCCAATGAAGTTAATTATGAAGTTGCTGATCCCTATGGTGAAAAGTATGCAGTTAACATTGAAGAGAAGACATGCTCTTATAGGAAATGGGACTTGACAGGGATACCTTGCTATCATGCAATTTCAGCATTTTGGATTGCAATGAAGGATCCAATGGAGTATGTTGATGACTGCTACAGAGTGAAAACTTATCTCAAGTGTTATGAGCCCTGCATACTACCTCATCATGGAGAGCACGATTGGGTACATGTGAATGTCCAGCCCCTACTCCCACCAACATATGGAAGAGCACCAGGAAGACCCAAGAAACAAAGGAGAAAATCTATTGATGAGGTGCAGGAAATGAAAGATAAAAGAGTTAAAGTAAGACGATTTGGATAAATCTATAAATGTACTTACAGTGGGGAAAAGGGTCATAACACAAGGACATGCAAACTTAGGCAACCAAAATGTGGTGAAGATGTAAGTCTATCACAGATGTCATCTGCTGGATTGCATGAAGCACAATGTGAAACAAACTTGTCACAAATGGATACAAACCATAGCATCTCTATGAGTGATAAGATATGATATTTTTGAATTCAAGTCTTGTGATTTTGTATTTGCTTAATGATAATGGTTTTAATCTCGTGTTCTAGGTTGAAGGTATTGGCTCCACTACTAAGAAGACAACAAGAAGAGCAGTGAAAAAAGCTGTGAAGTTTTCTTATAACTTGAATTTGATTTTATATTCTTACCAACATAACTACTGCGCATACTCATTACTCATACTACTGTTGTGCAGGGAAAAGGCACTAGACGTGTAGGAAAGAAAGTAACTTCATCACAACATAGCCAACAAGCTACTGAGACGAGCATAATTTCTTCTGCCCCTGTTGCTGAACCTAACTTACATGATTTGGAATTTCAAATCCACATGTGGCACATATCAGCCAACCAGTTGCTCCCATTGCTTCTGCACCATTTAGAACTAGGGATGTTCAAATTCATCTCTGACTCCCCAATGTGGTGACAAGTCTAATGTTAAAGGAAAAACAAAAGTGAACTAATTATGTATTTCGTTTGTTGCTGGGTAGACTTGGTACTTCTTTTGTTATGTTGGAAGTAATGCAGATGTTGTAATGCAGCTTATTTTGTACTTATTTTGTCATCTTGTCTGATGAAGTCTATGTATATTTTGTAAGAGATAATTGGAGGTCCCTTTTTCATGGTTGTAATAAGTGAATTGCAATATTATTATTTAAAGATTGCTGATTTTATGGCAGAATTGTTGCAGTTTCCTTCGTTACTTGAGTTGTGAATATCTTGGCATCATTGTGTTTTACAGGGATAATTTCTAAATGTGCTTATATTGCAAAATACAGGTGCCTCATTACACCTGTATTGCTGGATGATGCAAAGGTGTTGTTGAGGTTTCATTTTTGTCCTGCAAGTCAAAATTTGACTCATTCTTGTTACTTCACAGAATTTCTGGTTTCAATCCACCTCCAGTCCGACTATTTGGCTGGCGAGTACTAGAGTTGAAGGAACAGGGAGTTAGTGAAGAAGAAGCAATGGCTGTGGCTGATGTTTGTTTTTTTTTTCTTTTTCAATTTTTTGGGTGAATTTCGTTGGTGCTGTATCATATTAAGCTGCTGGTGACTGGTGAAAAGCTGCAGAACATTAGTTTCCCTTGGGATTATACGGTCATCATATGTTTTTAGATTACAAATCTGTTTTGTAATCTAAACTATCTAAATTTTCACAGGGATAATTTCCAAATAATGCTTTTATTTGGCCTCTAAATGCCTTAATAATGCCTTCATTACAGTTTACAATAGCATTGAATACAACATTACTGATATCTTACTAGCAATATAATACATCCCAACCTCCACATTCACCCATTGCTGATTACTAGTAGCTTGTCACAATCCACTAAAACATAGCTATTCCATCCTAATTTTTGGCCTTTTATACCAGCAAAACAAACAACAACAACAGTGCCAACAACACAATTGCAGAGACTAATTTTGTGACGCCCCCACTTCTCCCTAAGGCGAACCAAAGGGTATCCGCGGGACGCCTGCCCATCTCTCGCCAGGACTCAAGACCAATCCCGTTCAAGTTTAATACAATATTATCTATCACAACAAGGCAGAGTAAGAAAGATAAGTCGCTTCCATAAGTAATATTAAAATTTACACCACAAGTTCCGCAATATAACAATCATCCAATTCTTACATTTGACCCCAAAAGATATCTCAATCCCCAAAGTACAAAATAGCCAAGCAGTCCAGTCAATTACATTTGGAACCTAATACAAAAGTACTTCAAAAGGGGTTCCATCAAGTTCCACATCCTCCATCCCTGTTAAGGAAAACAAATCTACGGGGTGAGCAGAACGCTCGTGAGGCCAAGAACACACATGCAAGCACATAGTTCAAATAGCAAGCCCAAAAAAAAACAGGTCAAATGATACAGTGCGAGTAATTAACAATTCAAATGAAATATAAAACAGAAAAATTCAAGGATATGGTAGCTCTCAGGAGCTAAGTTCCACTTGCTTGTCAATCTCATGAGTATATCTTCCCGCAATGACTCTCCGTCATCCGGGTCGATATTTCCAATCCGTAGATCTACTTACTTCTCATGTCCGTCCACCGTACAACTCTCACCGGGCCCGCACGACATTTATAAGGCGATACTCCACGAGTATGCCAAGCGAGATCTCTCGATAGGTCAAGTTTATCATGTAATTCTCATGGCTCACCGAGGTTCCCGACCAAGCGCATGGCGGCTCGAGTTTCAAGGTCGGCCAGTTTGGGCGTCCTCCATGTACATTTGAGTATCGAGGAGGTTCACTCCAAGGACGTATGCAGCCATAGCATACTATTTCATGTAATTCAAGCATTTGATACATTCAAGCATTTGAACTTTCGAGCGTTTGACATATTAAAATATTTCAAGCATGAGTGATTCATTTCAAATGAGAACGAGTGCGATAAAGAATACACTCGACTCCATTTTCAAAATCACAAGTCATCGATAGTAAACAAGCATGTATAAAGTTCACAGGAGCTCAAGTAGTCACACACTTGACACTCACCAAGTAAACAAGAAGAAAAGTCGTTTGAAGTTCAAGTGTCCACTGTGGGATCCTCTTGAAGGTCCTCGCACGAGCCTGAATAATTAATAATGATTCATCACTCATAAACCCCAATTATCGAAGAAGATTGCACTAGTATACAACCTAAGGAAATCTCATGAAAATGAACCTCGATTATTCGTAAATCGAGGCTCAAAGATAGAGTTTTAAAACACGGGAGCAATCAAGTTTTCATCTTTGAAATCAAGTATAAAACGTTCAAGTAATATCGAAGGAATAAGGAGAATTCGAAAAACTCCATTTCCTTAAGATTCGGAAATTTCAGTTTTGATACGAGATCTTTGAAAAATTGTATCTCCCTCTTTACAAGTCCAAAATTGGAAAACTTGATACCCTTGGAAACCTCTTAGAAAGTACTAAAAGTTCTTAGAATCTACTTTTCCATGATTCCATACGTAAAGTATTCAAAAATTAGCTCAAAGTTGCTGTTTTGGAGCACTTAGGACAGGTTTAGGTTGGTTTTTGGTCAATTTTGAAAATTCGGCAAAATTCACTTGATTTGAACTAACCTCTGAAATTTGGAACTCTATTAGAGCTATAATCCAAGTTTAAAAAAAAATAAATGGAACAAGAATCGGAGTGCTGAGCACCAAAATATGATAGCTCAAAGTTGGTGAAAAACCGAAACTGTTCAGCAAAATTCCAGATTAAACTTCAAACTTTGGGACTTTGGTTAGGTATCAAAAAGGACTCGGAACGGCACAAAATTTGGTATGAATATACTACCATATAAGGGCTATTCCTCTGCCAAATATAAAAGGAAAATATGTACGAGAAATCGGTTAACGAAACCACTAAAATTCCAAGAAGTTCCAAGGCAAATCTGCCTTGGACTTCCGTTTTTCCGTTTTCAAACATTTGGCCAAGAAAACATCTCAAACACGGTCCACTCCAGTAGGTAATGTCTAAGAGATGTCCAAGATATATTTGGTAGGTGATTTACACTATGAAATTCAAAACAACAAGTCCCAATAAGGATTTAAGCACTCACTAGCCAAAAGAGGGTTTGAATTCACCAAGTCAGTTTTGTAGATTGGCCACAACTCACTCGATTCAACTCGGAATTGAGCGTGATTGGTGGCGTTGAAAACTAAATTCATAAAGCTACAATTTCTTAGAAGAAACTATTTTCAAAATCCATTCACAACTAGCTCATTTTTGAGCATCATCTCGCTGTTCAAAACAGGGTTCCCAGTGTAAACGAGAAACAGGACAGTCATATTTAAACGATTGGTACGGACTGCTCAGGTGGAATCAAAATGTACATTTTATACCGTTAGAAATCTGGGAATGTCTAGTTTCCAGTACCAAAAATGGAACTCGATTTTGATAGCGGAGTAAAAAGTTATGGCCGAAAGAAAAAGACTGCCTGGGCAATCCGGGAAAATTTTCCAGTTTTGCTAAACCATTGAAATCACTACAATTGACCAACCAAATCATGTTATCTTTCAATGAAACTTTCTACACCATTCATATACCATATATACATCATATAAAAGTCATTAGAACCTCAAAATTTCACACCAAAGTGCACGAACATGGCAGGGGTAAAATGGTCACTTTTGTTCATTGCACCTTCCTTGAGTTTCTACCAACAACTCAACATTATTCCACTAATTTAAGCACTAAACCAACATTAATAGCATCATCATTCATCAAATCAGTCCATCCAACCAAAGTGGGAGTGCATAAAGCCCACACAACAATTTTTCCAACATAAACAAGCTACCCATATGCATGCATGAGTTTATATATGCACTACTACTTCCATAAAGCAAGATTTGAAGGGTTGATCGTGGTTTACCTTCTTAGATGAACTAAGACAGAATTTTCGGTCCAATGAAACCCAAGAAAAACCGTGGAAAGCAGCCCTCTTTCTTAGTTTGATGTGATCTCCAAGTGATTAGCTACGTATGGTTAAAGTTTGATGTGATTTGGTGAAGATTAAATGGTGAAATGAAGGAGAATTTGGAGCTGTCTTTTTCTTCCTCCTTGGCCGGCTGTTTGAAGCAAGGAAAAGAAGAGATGTGTTGATGGTAAGCTTCCGTGAGAAGCTTTAAAATTTGTGGCCAAAAGTTACTTCAAAAGTCAATTAGGAATAATGCGCGTACGCGCGCGTTTCGTGCTCGATTCTACTCGAGTTTGTTTCACTAGTGCACTGAACCTCTAATGTACTTGTATTCATATTAATATTATTCACTCTTAATTGCCCCAAAATAAGGGTCTAAAGTTCCTCAATTAGTCGCGCGCGTAAAAACGTGTACTTCCAATTTAAGCGCGATAGAGTGAAATTTTCAAGAAATTCTTATTACGATAGTATAACTAACCAACATTTGAATACTTAAACATAAAAATACCTATTTTAAGACCATTGTACAAGTCTCCAATTTTTCAAGTTTACTGTATTCTCGAATCGATTATTGACTCCAATCGCGTATTCACTATTTTCACTTAACGAGCTTCCAAAAATTAAATTTTTCAACAAGCCACTCTAAAAATATAATTGAGTTATAAACCCATGTAATTAGGTCTAAAGAGTCTAGAAAATAATATTCAGGGCAAAAGGCCAATTAAATAATTAAATGAGCTAGAAGTTAGGAATTTGAAATAGATCATTTTTGTGAGTTTTCACATCCTCTCCCCCTTAAGAAAATTTCGTCCTCGAAATTTACCTTGACCTGCGAACAAGTCTGGATACTTTTCTCGGATTGCTTTTTCGACTTCCCAGGTTGCTTCCTCTAACCCGTGATTCCTCCAAAGAACTTTTACCAACGGTATCTGTTTACTCCTTAGTTCTTTCACCTTCCGATCCAGAAGTTTTACCGGTTTCTCTTCATAGGTTAAGGTCTCATCAATTTCAACAC